CGTTTTTAGTATCTTACTGAATATTTATTGTCTACCAAATGAAATATGAATTATATATGAATCTTTAGAAATACAATTTCTACAATATTAATCTTGTTTTTATATAGATAAATGTTCGATAAATACTATCTTTCATAAAAATAAACGAAATTCAGCGCGTCTATTTTCATTCCAATCAATGGCGTTTGTAAACATGTGTACTGACGCCATCGTCGAATCCCTGGACTTTCGACGGCAAAGCTGGCCTGCCTGGTCCCAGGCCAACCAATAATAATTAACAAAATGTATTATTTTAAATATAGGCCTATGGCGCATCCTGTACATGCACTTCAACTTTTACAACAAAAGCCTAGCCTAGGCCTAGTAGTACGTCCTACTGTACTTAAGCCTAGGCCTACACTAGTTTGATGTCGTCGGGGTATAATTCTGTCTCTAAATGCAGCGTGATCGTGATCAGGGAAAATCAAAATTCAAGATTGGGTCTAAAAAATCCCAAGATTGCTTTTAAAAACCCAAGATTCGCAAAATATTATTACTGTATATAAACTTCATTTAAAAGTCCTTCATTTTAAAGCTTTTTCAATGAATCATATTCTGTACAGTATTTTGTACTGTATAAGCCTTAGCGAAGTGTCTGATTTTCGAGACCAGAAACTCGTTCGCTTTGGGCCATAGGCCTACTATTAGAAAATTTGAAAAACTATTACTCTGTGCGTCCGTGGAAAATCCTTTTTGGTGATTAAAACGTGATATCCTTTCCTCTGGCATTGTATGTTAGGCCAAGAGTTTGAAGTTTGTGCGCAATTTCACCCATTCGATGTTAAAGTCAGTACTTCACACAGTACATTAGGCCTACCGGGCCTTTAAAAGGGCATAATCGATCTTTACAGAGTGTCTAATTGATCTGTCAATTTTATACCAGAGGGGCCTACAGTATTGCATAATAGTATTTAACAATAAGAAAAATTGGGAAAACAGTTTCCTTTGAAATTTACTTAAGCGAGCGTGTATGAAACCGGGTCTATGGCAACTATAATTTGATACTACGTCTAGAAGTGTAGAGATACCGCCCCTATTAGTAAGAGATACGGACCTATTAAAAACTGTTGCATTCTTAAATGATTACAAGATGACCAAGCATATGAATGAATCAGTCTAAAATGATATTCAAAGATATTACACTGTACAGCTAACCGCTAATCTTTGTTTTGCATGTCTATTACACACCGTCACTCACAAATGTATGTAAAAATTGGTCGTAAAATTTGATAACAAGTTGACCATTAAAATATATTGTAAATATTTATTTAAATCCGTACACCGATTTTGTTTCAAGTTGTTTGTTTCCAATATTATAGCTGTTTCTTTACGATGACAATGTTTTGAAATCGTACTGTATAACACTCCAAAATTTGTTTTATGGGCAAACAACAGAAGGCCCTAAATTTTTACAAGTTGACCAAGCGTGTTGCTGCATCATTATTTTTCAGTTACGATCACTATTCAGGCAGAGAGCAGCTGTTTCGTTACCGGTTGGTACATTTCTTACAAACATTCAGCCAAAGGCCAGTGAAAGTTTTTATCGATGTTTGCCATGATCCTTATGTGAGCTATCGAGTCATGGTTTGCCGGAGTTGCCTTTTAAATCTCCGAACTTCTGAAGCTGAGATATTCTAGAATATAGGCTTGTATTGTAGGCTACAATGTAAAAACGGGTGACCAAATAATGATCGAGTGCTAAATTTTGATTTAATACTGGGTAAGTTATGACCAAATAATGATCGAGTGCTAAATTTTGATTTAATACTGGGTAAGTTAAAAACAGATATTCCGTCCGAGTGGGACTCATTCAAAAATTCGAGGGGGTTCGCTAGAAAACAGGGGGGTTCGCTAGAAAAGGGGGTTCATACTCCCTGATATTGAAAACATAGGTAAAGACCTTTGAATGAGAGTGCTAGGTGCTGTAGATATGAAGATTATTGATAAACATCCAATATTTTGGTGGCCATTTTGAATTTCAAGATGGCGGCCACTAAGCGGCTTATTTTGTGGGGTCTATTTTTTTTAATGATCCTTAGGTGTCATAGTATCACTGTGGGAAGTTTCATGCTTTCTTCCAGAAGTGCACGATTTTTCTCCTTAGCCGCTCTACTATAGGAATAAATACCAATTGGATCACATAACAGTAACTTTAATTGTAAATGTTTTATTGTATACAATTTTATAAAACATAATTCAAATATATAACTTTTTTGTCATGTTTTTTACATTTTGAGTTTTCAATAAGTTGGTTTAATCCCAGTGTAGTTTGCCTCACACTCAATGTTGGTGACAAGCTATTTATATTTACAGCCTGCATTAGATTCATGATTTTGAAAATATGGGTTACAACTTACAAGCCACATTTTTGGAGTATATTTTAAACAAAAAATATTGAGAATAAAACTGGGGGAGGGAGTTTCCTGCTCACTCCATACGATGCTTTTAATAATACAATAATATGAATAATAACAAGAATATAACAACAACAGTGACACTAATAATGGTTAATAATGATACCATTAACAACAGTTTTTTTCAGAACTATCCACGTGGTGTACCGCAGGCAATCAATAAATATATTATTACTTTACCATGCAGATTTTTAAACAATGAAAATAATGTTACTTCCCCTTTGTTCATATAGCTATTGTAGCTTTGTATCACAATAGTTTAAAAGAGATGAAAATAACAGATGGATGTAACAATAATGAAAATGATTATTATGTTCTATAGCAAATTATAATAATACAAACTTTAAAATTGCCAATATGGCAAGGAAATCTGGTAACTTCTGATTGACAAACTTCTTACAATTGGAAAATGTTTTCAAGCAAATTACTATAAAATAAACAGTTACTATATTTAATCATCACTATCACACACTGATTAATAGTCTTATAGAAATGCTGATAATAGTGCAAAATAAGAATGCTTAAAATAAAACTGTTACATCAATTTTTCACTTTTAAAAATGTGGCAAAGACAAGCCAAACCAGTCACTCCTCAAAAAAAAAAAATCAATCAATCAATTTTTAGTATGGTAAAATGGTAAAAGAATCGTTTTAAGTTTCAGAAATTGGGTAAACAACAACATATCGTTAGTTAGATATACAGTTAAACTTGATCTTATATTACATGCTAATTTGCTGAGTTTTCCAAATTAACAAAAGTCAAATTCAAACAATTTTTCAATGCCATTTTGGATTTGACTTAGGCAAGTTTAACTGTATAAGGGATAAATGAAATAGATTAAAACATTTATGACATTCCAGCATGTTTTGGCCATTACCTCTTAAACACGATTTGCGAGGAGTCACTGGTTTGGCTTGCCTTTGCCACATATGCTGATTTCTTTTACAGAACACAACATACAAACAAGGCCACATGGGACTGAGCTGGCATACTGGAATCTGTTTTAGTATTGAATAGGTAGGGGGTCCCAGTTCCCTTTAACCTCAGAGTGTGTCAGCCTCTAGCAGATGCAGTCTTGCACTTAGCATTATGATATGGTTCCAGTTCCATTTAACCTCAAGCTGTGTTAATTTGTAGCCTACAAAAAGATGCAGTCTTGCTCATACCAGTATGATATACTTAAAATTACAAAAATATACAACACTCAATTTCAATTTTAAAACACTTTACAAACAGCTACACTTTGGCGAGAGATAAGGCACTTGTTGTAGTTAAGGCTAATCAAATCATGAGAGCCTTTTTTGGTATACAAAGGTAATAGTCTTTCAGGCAAAAAAATAATTATTAAGAATATTAATATATTAGTAAAAATCAATAAATTAACAATCATTATAATTATTGTAATAATATTTGTAATAATATACTAATAATAATGATTATATTTAAATATATCCTTGCCAATATTTTTCACCAAAAAAAAATTAGTAATAGTCTTTCAGGCAAAAAAATAATTATTATTAATATTAACAATATTAATATATTAGTAAAAATCAATAAATTAACAATCATTATAATATTATAATATTAGTAATAATATACTACTACTACTACTACTACTACTACTACTAATAATAATAATAATTATATATTATATATCCTATGAATGCCAATATTTTTCACAAAAAAAAAAAAAAATCGGTAATAGTCTTTCAGACAAAGGACCTCTCTGGAGTATCAAACTTAACAGCCAACCAATCAGAATGGAGCCAGGAATATGTGGCACATAACCCACTTTCTTTGCATACGTTTACAGGGGTAGATCAAGAATTTTTCCAACGGGGGAAAATAAAAGAAAATTTAACTAATATAAACCCCTTTAAAATGTAGTCATATTGTCCATTCTCTAGGTTTGTGGAGTCTATCCCAGCCTCTCTTATTCTGCCGTGCTAAAACATGCATTGGCATGTGGGTCTTTGGAATCGTTGGGCTTGTTATAAACTCCATTACCTCATCGTCATACTCAGCATGAATAGGTATGCTCCTATAGGTCAATGATGCCATAGCCGTTTTAGGCCTCATGGTGGCAGCTTTCATAGTGCCCCCAATAGAGTGCCTCATGTTGAATGTTCGTGGAGGGCCGACGGCAGCAGATTGTGAGGTGTCGCTATAGCTTGATGCACTATTCCACGTCCTGGACTCGACCCGACCATCCCAAGAACGCCTTAAATCTGTAAAAAAAAAAAATCAAGGATTTATTGAAAGAACATCTTGAATTTTATATAGAGGGGCCCCAGGAAACTTTTACCAATTGTTTTGCCCACACCCATCTAGGTCAAAAGTCATATGCTGAAGAGAAGAGATGAAACTTGGTGTCATAAGCCAACAAGCATTGATGCTAGGCATATGTTATAAATACTGTTGTATTAATAATGTAACATTTGTATATTGCCTGCATTCTTGGACAGTTGAAAAAGCATACCTTATAATATAAGGTATGCTTTTGTAGAAAAGTGGGTCATATTATGACCCACTTTTCTACAAATGTTACTGTTTTGTGGGAGTTATATATTTGTTTGTAAGCATTCATATATTTTAAAAGACATTCTATTTCATTTCATTTGAAGTGATGATAAAAATATTACTGTAATAGTATTAATAATTTTAACCATCTTTCTTTGAAATACAAATAGCCATCAGCAAGATATTGCTGTCCAACCTATCGTTGAAAACAAATATATCTATTGTAAACTACATTTTTGCTTGAATTTTGAGGTTTATTAGATTTCTATGACAGTATTAATTAATCATTTCATTATATAATTAATAAAAGAAATACACGGTACCATCAAATCCCTCTGAAGCAGTTGTAAGATACGAATCGGATACTGATGTGGGTACTGTTTGACTTCTCTCATGTGGTTCTGTAAAAGAAGATAGATAAATAGATAGATAACATATGGTTCAAAAATGTGGAATGTGAAGTCAGAAGAAGGTATCTTGAGGAGAAAAAAGCCATGATTTGAGATGATGGGTAACGTGCTGAGAAGGGAAGATGATGAACCTGTGAAAAGAGCATGGGATCTGGAAGTGGATGATATAAGAGGAAAAGGAAGACCGAAGTTTACATGGAAAGATATGGTGAAGAAAGAAAGCAGTAATGTTGGTCTAAATGAGAAGCATGCTTTTAGACAGGAAGAAGTGGAAGATGGGAGTGTCATCATGGCCTAAAATTCAGTAAAAATGCTGAAAATGCTGACTTAACTGATGATGATGATGATGATGATGATATATAGATAGATAGATAGATAGATAGATAGATAGATAGATAGATAGATAGATAAGGAAATAATAAATAAATAAATTCATCTTCCATTGGCAAATGCTTAAAATTAATTACACATATGCAAAATGATGACATTTCATTATAATATTATTATAGCAACAAAGACAAATAGATCAAAAAATTGGTATATAAATATGAGCAGTGCCTTATTTGACTAACAAAAATAATAATATAATTAAATACTATAGATTTCTTGGTATAAGCCCACTGTCTATTTTATGTCTGATTTCACATACAGTGTTTCCTTGAGCAAAAGCCTAGCCTGGGTTTCAGGCCCTAATTTTGGGTTACTCACTCTTTATTGCACTTTGTGCACGGCAATACCTAATTTAATTGCCGTCCCAAACTCGATTTCTTTTTTTCGGATTATTCCGTCTCTAAATTAACTTTCTCATTGGTGGCGCCGACCAGAATGAGAAAAATAATTTAAAAAATAAGAGACTTGCGGCATGTCTAGCAAAAGCTCACAGTATTATTTTAATAAGTAGCTTTTGCTTTTAACATGTACAGTAGTATAAAAGTAAATGCATTTTGTTTATTTGGCATCCCTACAAGTTATACTGTACAGTATGTCATCATACATGCTGTCAGTTGTCATTTAAACAAATTTAAAACAAGGATTCCACAGCCAAGACATTCGTAATTTAAAAACAGTACATACTTCTCCTTTCAAAAAGTGTTTCATCCACAATTGAAGTCGGGCTCACGGTCCTATAACTGTTGAATAAACTGCAAAGCGATAATTGGAAATGAAACTTTTTATATAATTATACTAATAGTATTTTGGTGTTATTTTATTATAGGATGGTATCAAGGCCTCTATGCACTTCAACTTATTACCCAGGCCATTAGGTGAAACACTTATGTAGTACATACTCAGCTTCCTGGGGAGTATTCTATAATGTTGAGACTGTCACCTTTAACATTGGACAGGCAACCTTTGAACTTAACAGTTGCAGGTAAGATCTTGCCTCTGTACATGACCTCTACCCTTTGACCAACACTGATGTTAATAAATAGTACCATCTTCAATAAAAAGATCTAGGCCCCCAACCTAAAAAAATGGAAATAAATGAAAAATTATCATTGGATTGGTTGGAGGAGAGATTGAAACGCCATATACAGTACAGGCACCCATGGGATTGGACAGAGTTCAGATAGCAAGCTAGGCTTGCTATGTATGTGTCTAGCTAGTCCCAATAATAGGTCTAGGTCTAGGCTCTATCCCAATTTTATTAGCACTACCTAGGCAGGGCCTATGCTAGACTAGGCTTGGCTTACTGGACTGCATACCTTACCTCCATGGATGGGCTGTCTGGGGCTAGGCTAGGCCCTAGCCTAACTAATTAGTAATATTATTATAAATACGCTACTGCAATGTTTTATTCTGTTTACTATTGAAATTGTAACTTACAATGTAAAAAATAATACTTACGCCATCCGAACAGAGGATTAAAACCCACACAACATCCACAACTTAGACCAATTGTTTATTGTTGATTAGCAACAAAATGGTCATCAATCAATTACAATATAGGTAAATAGCGCCCCCTAACGTTATGATTCTTAAGCTTGCTCAATGTTCTAACAATGGAAAGGTAATTACAACTTAAAGGATCTCAAACTATATAAGGATAAAAACTAATAAAAAGTAACAAATAATAACAATGGAAATATTGTTTAAAGGCTCGCGTAACGAAGTAATTGTATAATGCTTGCTGTACACCGCAGATAGTTCTGAAAAGAATTTAAAGTTCTAATAATAGGCCTACAGTAAAATTTCTTACACGTACCGGTACTTTTTTAAGATTATACTTTTAGTTCAAAGAAAAATTGTTAGACACTAAGAAAGAAAGAACGCTATTCATAATAGTCACGCCTGTCTAATAGAAGCCCAGAGAATTAGCAAAATATTAGAAAAAGATCGTACCAAAACCTACGTTGGGAATGCAATTATCGCTGTCAAATGCCATACACTGTGAGCGACGGTGCCTAAAATAGGCCCAATGCTGTCAGGTAAGATCAGTCTGTAAAAACTTGAAAAGTGAATTTATCATCTGAACTGCTTAGGTATATTTTGCAATCATGTTATTCGATATTGAACAATATTTCCTCGTCGATATATGAGAGCAATTACCCTTATTAACAATTACCATTATGTCGTTCATATTATTCTTTGTATAACCCAATAATTAGGTGGTACAGTAATCAATTAAATGATTTTATAGATTGTAAAACGAAAAACGCTTAGGTACTTATTTTAAAGTTATTTGATCCCTTTAAGTGAGCTATTCAATTTTAAATTGTTTTATTGTTATTGCACGACTAACACAATAATATAACACAAAACTTAACGTCGCCTCATGGCTGCAGATTGCGCTGGTATGATAGGCTTAGGCGTACAGAATTACCAAAAGTCCACAATGATAAAAGCATAGAAATTCGACCCAATTCATAAAGAAGGCCATGACCGAATTACTAAAATGAATGCATTGCATAGCCTATATAATTCTTCCCAGAATTCCAGGACAATGGAGTAGGCCTATCTACATTGATATGGGGGAGGGGTGGTGGTTGAGGCTGACTGGAGGGTGTTGAGTGGGGGATCGGTTCAGATTAGGTGAGGGGGATTTAGCTTGCAAATCAAAGTGTAATAAAGTGAATTTTTGCTATAAAGGACCCCAAGCTTCCCGTATCTACACCACACCACTGTTCCAGCATCCAGGGCCTATTGATTTCGTAAATTTTAAGCTCATGCGCAAGCCTACACCACTAGCATGCTGGTCAAGTTCCTTCATTGCCTTCAAGTTTAGAGTCTTGTGAATTCAAATCCTGTAACACTGGGATATTGTTTTCATTTAAAAAAAAAATATCCACACAGGCTTGTCGAGCCTCAAAAAGAGACATGAGCATCGTTCTATCCTATAATTAGCGAGTCAGTAGCGGATCCAAGAATTTAAAATAGAGGGGCCCGGGGAGGTACTTTCACAGATGGAGGATCTATACCACCTTAGCCCCAGCATGGTTGGGGCTGAAATGGAAAATTTGTGATTATAGTCGGAAATTGCACTTTCAGACTTAAAATTTGAATATAATTTTCTTTAGGCCTATATCTCCTTTTTTAAATTTTTATTTTGAACAATAAAGCGGGGGTGGGGTATGGCGGGCCGGCTTAAACCCCCCTCTTGTATCCGTCACTGATAGTAGACATCATCTTATTACTGGTCAAAAGAAAACACAGAGGAAAAACTCCTCTCAAATGAGAGATGCTTATAGCATGTTTGTTAATTATTGTAAAGTATCAGGTTTGGTCGTGCAGTATAATAGATGGCATTATTGAAACGATACCTGTCATCAGTCATGAAGCAAACAGATGTTATGACGATTTTTTTCTACAGTAGGCCAATAACTTTAAATAAAAATTGGAATAATATATCGTATCGCCTTTTAAACCCGGCACCTTGATAATTATTATTGTAATTATTACAATGCTATGGACTATCATAAGTGAGAGCGTAAGCTGTCGGTCTTTGTTCTGTTTTATAACAAGAAGGTACGGCCGAATGAATGGCGGTTTATATACTATATCCGCATTACCTTGTATGACAAAAGTTTACTTCTCCGAATAGAATATAAAGTGATCTGTGTCATTTATCCGTTGACCCACAAAAATCGAACTAATTTTATAGTTACTGCTTCAGCAAAGCTTGGACTCTATTCAAATACCTACTGCCTAATTGCGCTTACAATTTCAAGGACGTCTCTCGGAATCACATTGTAAAGCCAAACTGTGCTTTTTGTATTCATAAAAGATAATATTGTGTATTCGTATCATTTCATATTTGGAAGGCCTATAAATTATCAATTCTTACTATATTTGTCAGTAATATTGAATTAAGGGCCGGATCTTTAATGCATGATTTTGAGTGAGGGTGAGGATTGGTAAACAAATTTTAACTGCAAAAATCTTTTACGCTTCATTATATATTGAGCGTTTCGTTGAATAGCTATGCTTGATAATATGATTGAAAGATCGATGTTCCTATTTGTTCACTATTATTAGATATCTATTTGTTAATAATGCATTAATATATTTGTTACAGTATTGCTATTATTTATCTATTTTATGTTACAGCTCTTATATATGACAAAGATTAAAAAACGGTTTAACTATATATATATTCAAATTAGGCTTGCTGCTTACTGTTATTATGTAATTGTTATATAATAATCTCTTTATATATATAATACATATAGGCCTATATATAAATTAAAAGGCAAACTAAAATAACAACTATGCTATTGAAAGCAATAGCTAGATCTCAGTAGAAATACAAATTTGATAAGCTAAAATGACGTAAACAGCCAGAAATAGAACCATCGAGCTTATGTAATATCTAAAAACTGCTGGAGCCCCAACCCGCATCTAGGCCTCCTTGTTATCAAAATCTTGCGTTCATGCCGCTAGTGCGTTTGCGTGCCACATTTTTCGGAGCTTCAGAGAGATTTTATTCAACAAGTAGGGCCTATAGAAAATAAAATAAGAATGAAATCGCTTAAATTTAGTTTTCAAATTCCACCGCTAAACACTGACGATTGTGAATCAATTCATTATACCTATTATACCAAGTTCGATTACAAAACAATGTGCTTTATCGATTCGTGGCCTAGCGCTACGGAAAACCGGACATAAAATACGAACTACACGAGACAATTAATCCACGTGGTTTTTACTTCTATTATATATTCACCTCTGTGATATCCGTATCAGAACAACACGTCGTCGTTTATGAAAATGCAAACTCATAACTTTGCAAGCTTGAATGCGTTTGGATGAATGGGCTTGCAGAACTCAACCCCGGTCGTAAACGAGTATAGTGTTTACATTTAGCTTTAGCGATCTGTAGCGAAGGCTTGTGGAATAGTACTAGTAGTAAAAGAAAAGCCGGAAGGCGAGTCGCTGCGTTGGCAAGGGAATAAAAAGACTTTCAGTCTACGGCGAAGCATAATGTTATTTCTTCTGCAGGACGGAGAAAATAAGTACATCCCGATGCATCTATCCACCGAGAGTCAGTCAAATAGTGTTGAAGGATATTGGGGGAATCCTACCTCAACAATAGACTGGTGTGAGGATGATTATGCTGTGTCTTTCTACATCGCTGAATTCTGTAAGTAGGCCTATACCTGTCTCTTATACACATCTAGATGTGTATAAGAGACAGATACCACCTGTTTGTGATAGAAGATTTTGACCCGGCTTACATATAATATACATAATATAATTATATACCGTATATCATATAGGGTTTGTAAATATGAAATGCAACTATATAGTGTATATAACAAATTATTTATATATGCATTATATACATATATACTGTATAACTAGCCTATATGTAATAATATTTAATGCTTATAGGAGTATCGTTTAATTTTCGCTCTTTATTAGAGCCCTTTTCCGTTTAATACGTTTTCTCATCTTCTGTCGTATTGCACAGACACTACTGTAAGCTTTCATTGTAATACACAAATACATTTTATCAAATAATGTTAACAATGCCATATAGGCCCATTCTATGCCTATTTTTTTCACATGTATCTTGTGCACTATATTATGGTCGTCTCCAAACCAAGAGCCTACCATGTGATTTGTCTATCATGCCTTGAGAAAATCATAATTGAAATTCCAGGAGAGCAGTTCAATTTAGCGTGTTGGAGGGGATCTTGTGTTCGTATCTCCATAGAAGCAGATACGTTTTTCTAGATGACCACCCCCCCCCCCGAGAAACACTACTTGTCATCTCTGTGTTTCTCAGGGGCGGATCAAAGATGTCCGAAGGGGGAACCAAAGGTGGGGGTGGGGAGATTGAGATAACACTACACAGAAGTCCGCGAAATTTTGGTTTTCTAGACGCCAGATAATAACCTCTGAGGCGTTTTGGGCGATCATTTATTTTCTTTGTCTTTCTTTCTTCCTCCCCCTTTTTTAAAAATTTCCTTAAAAAAAAGGGGGGCAGTGGCGTGAAGTCCGCCCCTGCCTCTCCACCAAGTTTAATGCTGTCTCTTATACACATCTAGATGTGTATAAGAGACAGGCATAATACCGAGCGCAATCATTGGCCATAGTGTTGGAGAGGTTGCTGCTGCCTATACCGCGGTGTTTATTAAGATGTGGGTTTAACACATAGTATGAATGTCATCAATCCAGAAATTAGCCTGATGCTTAAATAAAAGCGAAACGTAAAATAAAAAGTAATTTCTTCAATTTTTTTTAGTGATATTGTATGCCCGCATTTATTCGTCTGTGTATATACAATAACATTCAGTCCGCCTGGGACTGACGATCTTCCTCTGACGTATCAGAGTCCCCCACAGTATTGTATTCATATAGCAATTTGCTGAAGAATACTCATGTTAATAGCCTTCACTGTAAATTTATTACCCTTGTCTCTCTCCACTTGCAATATCCTGATCCTGATAGGCATATGTTTTTAAACTTGTATTATTGTTTTGTGCTGAATAGCTTTCGAGTATGGATAAACAAGGTCCTTTACGAGTGAATAAAACCGTAGCAGATTGGATTAAATCACCACAGTATATAATAGGCCTATGCCTATTCCCAACCAGCAATCATGTAGCATGTTGTCCTACCCCCTAATTCCTCTATGTCCTAACTTAGGACATGGAGTCTGTGTCAATGGACTTGTCTGTGTCAATGAATAGTGTTGTCAATGCCGTAACCGGCTATTAGGGCTGTTGGGACAGTCCTGCACAATTTTTCTCTTGGGGTCCACAAAGATTGGGTCCACATTTTAAAATTGGGTCCAGGTTTCTCATATTTTGAGTAAAATAGGTCAAATTTTAAGACAAAGGGTCCAGATTCCTCATATCTTGCGTTAGATGTGTAAACTTTTAAGAAAATGGGTCCAGATTATTCATATTTTTGAGTTAAATTGGACTAATTTTAAGAAAATGGGTAACATTATTTGAATAAAGTGGGTCCACACTGATATTGTCCCACACCGTTTAAAAATCCTGGCTACGGCACTGGGTGTTGTTAGGATTTTTGACCTTCAATATCAGTTTTGTCGGTTGTATAACAACAAATGAGCGTAGTTTTCTATGTACATTTCATTTCATTTTATTACTTGTATGCAACTTTAAACGGTTTTTTTCTTTCAATAAAATATGCAAAATACTTTAGTATTTTGTAATACATACCATCAACACCCATTAAAGAGCAACATCTGTAATGTTTTAGTAGGGTTTTAGACATAAAAGTCATGTTTATAGGCCTAACTCTATATTTACCAATAAATTGCAATTAATTTAAACTCTTTGTCTATCCCAAATCAACTTCTTCTCATGGCAATTACCTCCAATGTTTTCAGAGGGTGGTGGTAGAAGGAAAATCCGCTTTTGAACTTCTACTTATCTCAAATATCTCTCCTATATTTTTCATACACCACTTGCACCATTTTGTATTTTGTATCTCCACATACCAACCTAGCATTTCTTTTGCAGATGGCACTTGTATAGAGAATTAAACAACAATGGATAATATCCCATTAAAATTATCTTCTGGATTTAACTGGAAAAAACCATGGAAACTTGAATTCAATCTTGTAAAACCATTCATATATGCTCCAGACAATTTATTAAATTTCTTTTCAATTACAATTATTCACTAAACACCACTTGACATAGTTACAGAATATGACCTTGAGATTTTCTTTAAGATACGTTATCATTCAAATATCTTTAAAAAATCTGCCCGAAAGCAGATCGGTGCTAAATTTTATATGTACTTAAAGTTGTGACCAGATGACACTAAAAATGTTATTTTGTTCATTGGTCAGATCAAATCTTGAATTTGGTCGTCAAATTTGGTCCCATTTTAAAATGAAAGCGTTGGAACTCGGAAAAAAGGATGGAACGTAAACTAATTGCTTTTGACTTTTTCATGAGAAAACAAGAAATGTATTTTTATAATCATTATTTGTTTCCCACCCACGACCGCTTCCCGTGCTTTTTCTGTTTACTTCTCGGTTCTCCAAGGGTGATAAAGAACTCACACAAAACATAATTAGTGTAAAAATATGCATTCACTTGACTGATTTTTTAATATTGCCAAGCAAAAATATTTCAATTTATTGACTGTTTACTGTTTCATTTGTATTTGCATATGTTTTGGGAGCGTCTGCACTCCTGTACTGCAATTATTGGCGTTTTTTAACAAATTGGAATAACCACTTGTTTGTGAAAAATCAAGTCAAATGTGACTTATTGGAAGTTGAAAACTAATATCGTTATTTAAAAATGAGCAATCCAAATGTATTTAATTTTTTGTTTTTCTCTTGATATTCTGGGTGGCAGTATACGTGAATATAATATATTATCATTGCCGAACGAATGGAATGAATTTCGATGGGAGAACGTTTCCATAGAAACATTTCAAAACAATGATTATCGATCGCGTTTGCAAGCGATGGAATTACTGCTCATGCGTATGAAGTTAATCTTCTTTCGATGGATGAAAAACAACATGTTTGATTAAACAAACCATTTGGAGTGTGCATTACGGATGGCGTTATTTAGACATCCCTGTGCAATTAATAAAGAATCGCAGATTGAAAAAAATACTTCGTACTTCCTACTTAGCTTGTTTACCGATTCATCGTAGTGATGTATCTTGGAAATTTATAAAGGGTGAAGATGGCGAAGGTTAAGTGGAGGTGCTCAAAGGAAAAATATTGGCCTAGTGATAGTTTTTATTTGTATAGATTTTTTATCTAATTGAATTTGTTTTTCTTAAAAATGGTTCCATGATGGACTCGAAACGTCGATCTTTCTAGTCATTAAATTTTGTTTTGAGTTTGTTCTGAGGTGGTTGGCACCTGGCGGTGCAAGCTGTTTTAGGGGGGGGGGCACACACCGTCCAGTAGATTGTGAACGCTGTGATGCATAAGCCAAATAAATATTCTCAGTGGCGGATTCAGAATTATTTTGCCGAGTTAGCGTGAATCCAGGACATCATTATGGTTTGAAAGGACTAAACCTATGGTCGAGAGAAGAAGGGTTTAGTTACGATGTTCCCTTAACTATTATTAGCCCCATGAATCTTAAGAGTCCTGGCCATTTTAAACCCTTTATCTAAATGATTTCATACTTAGTTAATTAATACTTGGCTGCTGCCGGAGAGGGGAGGGGTATGGATAGAGTGTCTTTTTTGCCATGACCCCAGAATCCGCCACTGATTCTAGATGCTTTTAATCGTATCCATAAAGTCGGAGAGATTGTGATATCAAGTGGTGTTTGCAATGATCTGTTTTAATCAATAGAATATTAATAATTACGATGTAGGCTGCGAGCTCGTAGAAAAAAAAAATCCCAAAACATAAGAACGATTCGTGTAGGCCTATCTTTACAAATTGTAAGCTTTTTTTGTTTTTTGTTTTTAGCAATTTCTTTACATACATTCGCTGTTGTCAAATGACTCTATCCTGTTATAAAATAAGCTGTATGCGTATTAAAAATACGACCTATATGGAAGACATTGTATATACTGTAACTAATTATAGGGTTCAAGTTTTAATGTTCCTGCTTGCATTCTAGATTAGCGATTTAACCACATGCGATGGAAACGATCCGCCAATTACATTTGCATTTGAAGTGGAGTAGAGCAAGTAGATTGTGATATTAATACAAATCGTCCAACTGTTAAGACGACACAGTAACCCCAACGAATCTAAATTGCGGTTTGTTTGTGATGACGTAAGCCATATTTAGTTCAATTAGGCCTAATAAAATATGGTGATTGGAAATCATGATTGATGGGCTGATCATGTGCTTGTCACATTGTTAGTGTAGATGTCATCATTTCTACACAATCAAACCTCGACTTAGGTTAGTATTAGTCATAAAATGGAAGGTTATAAATTGAAATTCAATATTAAATCAATGTCAATCATCGGTGGTGGGGGGGGAGGGGGTGTCCCCGAAAAATATGACAATTTAGGGGTTTCAAATGCATAATTAATCGATTTTATATATAGAGTCTACTAATTATGTAGAAAATACATATAATTTTTTCCCCTTCGACGAATTGTGGTTTTCTCCCAGATTGGGGGTGGGGGGAGGGAGAGGGTGGGCAGCTTTCCCCGACGGG